ACATAATACACTTGTCAACTAATTGATCTTTTGCGTTTTTTACAATCAGAGTACAGTTTTTGAAATGTGTTACCATTTGAGTTTGATGCTTAACAATTGCACACACATATTTCCCTTTATTATCTTAAAGAGAGCAACAACACAGATTGGTGCAGAATAATATGAATTCATTTCATTTCTTTAGGTTTCTCATCACTTACTCACAACCTAAAATATTTGAAAATCAATGTTATTGCAGATATTGGCATAATTATACATAGGAGGGTGATTAAAGATGAATATATATATCATAATGTAACAAAGATTCCGATATAGCTAATAAGATCACGAAAATTTTGTTTCGTATAAATAAAGTTTGGGAGGGAAAGTTCCAGAACAATGAAATGGTGATTAGAAATCATAGAGTTAACGAAAATTATGTAATGAAGCAACTGAAAATAGATTAATGATATAAAGAAAGATATAAATTGAAATCAGTCAGCCATGATTTCAAGAAAAATGACAATGATGTAATTTTAAACTTCAGAAAGAGTTGAAATAATGAATGACGCAATAAATAAAAATGAAACGGTTCAATGTCACAAGGTCATAGGAAGATTTATTACCAATGGGGCGATCCTGAAAATTTATTGCAATAGACATGACAAGCTCAGGAATCATTAAGAACTATTTTATCCAATCAGCGTTTGACTAGAAGTTTTGCGAGAAACATCACGAAAATGAAGTCACATGTAGATTTTCTGGTTGGCTGATTACTATACTGCTACTATGTTTAGTAGCATTCCAGAATTTTCAGGAAACCTCAAGGACTTCTAAAATACTATAAAAACCCTATATTTCAAGGAGTGGTATTTTGTAAACAGTGATGTCACATCAAAGGAAACGATAAACTTATTGGCAATATTTATGTGGTTCATGTTGTCAGCAAGTCGAAATGAATCCTATAATACATACGTGGATAATCATTGACGAACTGGTTCTAACTTATCCGTTAAGCATAGTGCAACTTTGTGGTAAGATGAGCTGACCATTGACCAAATAAGTCCAAGAGGAATGTCTTATTTATGTATTTTTGGTAAATCGTACATGTGAGGTAAGCGAGACCCACGAGGTCGTAGGTTAGTGTATGTGGAATTATCGACCATCAACTTCTTCAGGAGATCCCTGAGTACATTCGTGTTTCTTTTCTCACTTAAATCAGTTAAGTCTTTTTTTACGTTTATGTAACTTGAATCTCATATAGTCACTTAAAATCGACTTCATCTTAGAGTTATAATCTGTTGTGCTATTTAGAACAACACTCGAACCTTTATCTGACCGTAATATAATTGTATCATCATTTCGCTTAATATTTCGTAATGCTGTCAGGTGGTCTTCGGATAAGAGTTTAGACTGTGGAATCTTCGCTACATTATGATACATATATTCATCTTTAATCATCCTCGTATGTATAATTATATCAATATCTGTAATAACATTGATTTTCAAATATTTTAGGTTGTAAGTAGCTGATGAGAACCTAACAAAATAAAATGAGTCATATTATTCTGCACCAAACCTTGTTTAACAATTCGTTAGATTTACTTATAGACAATATGGTTCAGATTCAAATCTTACAGAATACATAAATTCCCTAAAGATTGTAGATACTCCTTCCTTATATATATGAACTAACCTGAAATCTAACTTGCTAGCGGTTGACTTCAAGTACACCTAATATATAGTTTATTTACGTTTATTCATACATACCAGATCGGGGCACTTATTCTAAATACTAATTAAACTCATTTAGCTATCAATTTGAAACATTCATCATTTATTGTCCTATAAATACGTTGGTTGCTGACATAAATTTTCAACTATATTTGTTTGTCATTATAGTTTATACAGCCGAATGGCTTTAGTTGAACTTACATTAAAAATCATAAAGCAGTGAACATCTAATTTGTTCTAGCATGGAACTGCTTATTCATACGCACCAATGACCCCACTGTGATCGAACTCAAGACCTTCAGGCTTCACAGAGATCATTTATCTTATAGATTACTGAATGAATATCTATTGGTTTACATTTCTATTTGCAATCAATTCGTCAAATTTTGTAATCACTTTCCTATCTCATAAGGAAGTAATTGTCTCATACCTGACATGATCAAACTACACTATTCACATTTTTGCACTAAAATTTCTGGGGTTACCGCTCAAATTGAGTCATTACCAATCATATATTGATTATTAGTATGAGGGTTTCTGGAGCCTGTTGAGTTTACTGATAAACACTAATTTTCAAGTTATTTGATTATGTACTTTTGAGTGTCAAACGAATACATCTATAAATGTCTCTGATTTTAATATTCAGTCTCATTAGAAACGATCAATATTTACTTGATAAGACAATAGTAATATTATCATAAAAATTTTCTATAAAACTGAAATAATTTAATTATGGGGTTGTTTGTTGAAATTTTTTATATATAGTTGAGATCATGAATCAATTGAGGCTAGACCACCATGGAAAACCTGGAAGTACTGGACAGCCGTTTCGTCTATATTTAAATATTTATAAGACGATAATGATTATTATTCAGAATGTACTCTAGTTAATATTGTATAATGAGAAAGTAAAATTTGGTGAAACTTAATTAGTTACTATTTATAGGAGTCCCTAAGGAATTTCAATGACTGTAAAAAAATTTTTTTACATAGGAACATCACTAAAATTTTGTTGAAACATTATTTAATTTAAAATCAATTTTCACTATTGAAAAATTAAATTAATTGAAAAACTATTATCTGTGTTACAAAAAATGAAGCCTGGTCAAACTTTTTGAAAAAAAAAGAATTTAGATAGAAGAATTCAAAAGTATTATACTATGATTCTGATTATAAGATGACTCTAAAGGTATATCACGAAACAGTGAACTGAAAAAGTGAGAGCACCCAACCGGAGAATGGTTCAAGTCAGAGTGGTACTTCAAAGCCTGTTACACCTCGTGTAGGAACATAGGCCACCGACCATAATCCTCAAACCAACTCCGTCCTGGGCAATCTTTTTCTGTTGTTACCAAGTGCTCTTCATTCTTTTGATGTCACTCTTCAATTGTCCAAGCAATGTATTCTTCGATCTCTCACTTTGCATGATGCCTTCAAAATTCCAAGTTATTCCTTGTCTGGAGGTCCAGTTTGGTGATTTCCGCTATGTATATCCTATCCACCCCTTAGTCTTCTAATTTATTCTTCAATTGGAAGTTGGTTTGTTCTCTGCCTTGATGGGTTGTTGCTATTGGTTTCTAGTTAATGGATCAGGAGTACCTTGAATTGACGATTGTTTATAAATGCCTGTATGCTTCTGATTATTTTTGCGGTAGTTCTCCGAATTTCAACTTGGTACGATAAAACTGTTTCGATGTTTGTATTGAAAATTCAGCGAGAATAAAATTTATGGACGATCTTTGGACGAAGCTTAGGTGATCTTGATAGGTTACAGCCAATTAGAAAACAATTAGTAGAGTAAGAACAAGTTATAAAAAACTGAAAAACCAGAGTGGATCCACTTTTTCAACATGGTTTAAAAACTTTTCAACGTTAGAAAGAGGCTCTGCAATTCTGAAATCATAACGCATACTGTACAGGACTCATCCATGTCACTCCATAATAGTTGACCTCTGGAGCTATGATAAAGTCACAAAAATTCTTTCAGCCTCGATCACACTGCTTCTATATTATTGATGTTTACTCTTGTGGTGGAGTCTACAAAATGTTGCTTGTGAATGACGACATGGTGCACGTAACCAAGTCTAGATAGGCATCGATATGCTCTACAGTCATCTGTGTACATTGTGGTATCCAGCTGCATATACTCTCGTATAATTGGTATTATCTTTGTAGTCTATCGGTTTCTTATGCGCTCTAACTGTCCCTTTTGAGATTTATAACATATACTAAAGATCTTCCAAGTATATTCAAGGAACTGATACTTAGTCATTTCTTAACTCTTCTTTTTCTTTTGAATTTGCGTTTTCTAACGACTGTTTCGTCGATTTCTCCAGATTCCTCCAAATGACTAATTCATTCTTGGTATTTTCATCGCACATATATCTTGACAATGCTCATACCACTTAACTGCCGAAGCTTAAGCAACATCTGTAGAGGTTGCAGCCAGTGTTGCTGGTGCTTCTATTATCTAGTTTTCAACAGTTATCATAACCCGTTTTAGTGCCATTCGGGATCGAGTGTGAAAAAGTCCCCCTAACATTTATTACATTAAAATACAATATCGTCACGATTATCTGCACAATGTCTATGAGTCACTTGACCACCACAATTACAAATAAAAGAACTTCTCAGTAATCTCATCTGTTGTAGCCGTTCAAATTTAACGTCCTACTTAAAATCTGTTGTGAATCGATCGTACGTGAGCATTGGATATTGAAACAGGAGCTATTACCGTGAAGCACTCACCCGCTTCTGATCAGTTCTTCCATAAACTATAGTCTCGCCGAAAATTCTGGTTTCGGTGTTACCTAACAACTGATCTGAGTTCCAGATTCTCCTTAGTCGTAGAAATGCTTCCTGTGAAACTGAACGAAGTAGATTCGAATCTAACAGGTAGCTGATGTTCTCAGTAGGATTGTAGATACGCCTTACTTAGAATTGCCAAATAACATGAATTTCAGATAGATCAGAATTTCCAACTGGTCTCCTCCTCCGACCGTCCAGTACCAGAACTTGAGATTTGTTCAACGATGACAAGTAAATTTTAAAGGATATCTGTTTTTGTAATTATCAATTTTTACTGAAATTCAGCACCAAATGTCCATCGTTTCGAACATGAGAAAATAAACTTCAAAATAACGACTGGAAATTACAGGCTACCGCTAATAAATCCTAGTTTACATAAATTAATTTAAATAAAAATGTAAATTCAACAAATTATTGTTTAAATTAATGAATCCTGGTTAAATATTTGTTTGTTTGTTTTTCTTATTTATATTATTTAGATCTTACTGATGATCCATCACAAATCGACTGTACAATTATCCTAGAATTTGCATTAATCAGTCAAAATCGTACATTTAAACCAATTTTAATCAATATTCCTGTAAATATTCAAGATATCAACGATAATATACCACGTTTTGATCAATATACAAGTGGATTGAAACTTGAAATAAGTGAAGATGTATCAACGGTTGATCAGTATTCTTTGTCATCTATGTTATCATCATTATCACCACCACTATCATCAGTGCCACCATATTGGATGACATATTTGACTACTAAAAGTTCCTTAATTCACAGTAGCGGTAGTAGTAGTGGTAAAAAGCGTGAAATTGCTATTTTACCCTTGGCAAAAGATTTCGATTATGGATTAAATGGTACTGTAGCTTATAAATTAGAGGTAAGTTCCTATTTATATCAAAAACTGTTATAGATATTTTTGCAGAGGTATTGTGGAAATTGTTGACATTCAAGTTTCACATCCGAAACTGACTCTGCATAGACAACTACTGAAAAGTGAGGAAACATTTGACAGTTGTTTCATTATAGTATGAGATACCTGAACAACAAGACCTTCCATTCATTTGGCCAGCACTTATAGAACTGAAGACGAATATCACCCATAGCAGCCGACAGTGGTAGCGCAATATCACAATTTTTTGAAGTTAGAAGTGCCAACTTTTGAATAACAACTTAAAGATCTAAAGTTAAGGGCTTATCGACAAACTTGAAGACTCTAGGTCCAATCGAAATTCGGGTTGTAAGTGTTCCTTTCTAAAGGGCCTCATACGAGTACACAACTGTCTTTTCATTGTTTTCTGTTCCAGCTAACACCGATCAATGATCTAAACTTCATTCAAATATTTAATTCATTGAGTACAGTTTCATTTAAAAATCATTTTAATTTATTCAAGTAACATTGGGAAAGACATTTTCTGATTTATTTGTGATTAAACACAAATTTATACTTAAATGTAATACTAGACGAGCACAATTTTAATATTTTACCCTCCAATTGGAAAAACTTGTCGTTGTGAATGATGGTTATTATCGTTTTATTACGTAATGTCAAACGTTTTTTTGATTTATAGCTTCCAATAAAAAAAACCAAATTTTTCCTATGTAACAATGATAAAAGTAATGGGTTGAACTGTATATATGTATGTATATTGACAATCGTCAACAAACATGAAATCAAGGTCAGATAAGAATCCCCACATTCTGAAACCAATCATTTAACACTTCATCATAGTGTGCGCGGTGTTTGGTCACTTAAACCAGTGGTCACATTACATAAAATTCGATCAGAACTGAGGACTAGGCAAACATGACACTGCCCATTAATACCTTATGATCAACCAACTGGAAATATCTTAGTCTCATAGGAGATCGACGTCTGTTCAAATACCTCAGTGGTAATTCCTCAGACTGTGATGCTGGATGACAGGAACTGGAACGTCCTAGGTATCACTGTTTTTTTCAGAGGCTCTGGATAAAATTTGATAAGGAGTACCAACCAGTATAAAACCTAAGCCAAACAAGGTTTTCTACTGACCACATCCAACCACCTAAGATTGAGTATTTTCTTCTAATGAACTGACATTATTTTATCGACAAAATCAGAATTTATTTCTTTAATGATAATCATGAAATGGAGTCCTGATTTGTGTGACAATCACCTTGTTATTAAATGAATACTTGACAACCAACACTATATGACTAAACTGCTAATGAAATCTTAATTGGGATTGATTCAATAAGTTTGTTTTTTTTCAGGTATCCCATTTTCGGTGAAAAATTAGGGAGAGAAGAGACATGGATCAGTCATATAATATAAGATTAATTATCAATGTTAAACTTTATTACAGCTAAACGAACGATAAATTGTCTATTCTGAAACCGACTAATTAATTATTAATCAGAGTATTTTAAATATAAATAATTTAGTCTAACATTAATGAATATTTATTGGGTTGAATGGATTTTTTCAATGGAAACAATCTTTATATTTGTATCTTTATTTCATTTTTACTTCTCAGTAAATTACTATTAATATTGATGACGAAAGATTATCTTGATTATTTAATCGAAAATGCTGGACTTTACACAGATTTAACCCAGTACTTAATATGTTCAAATGACTTAATATTATCATTGATAGTTAGAGAGAAGTAGTCAATAATATGCATCCATGGCGACTGTGTTACGGTCATTAATAGACTCACTAGGTTAGAAAATATATTTCCTTACCTGATATCTTTTAACTTTAATTAGAGTGTCGTTTATCAAACTGTGGCCATAGAAGAAATAATATTAACACTGTCAGATCCATGAAGACTTATGACACCTAATTTGAAGCTTTACGTACAACATTTTTACAAATGTTGTTTTATAGGTCTTCCATCTTTATATGAAAGCTAACTTTATTTTAAACTGACATCAACATAGTACCAACAAAGATGAGACCATTAAGAATAGCTAATAAATATCTCATTCTCCTTAATATTGCAAAACGTTAATGGTTTAGAGGTCGTGTTTTTGCTGGAGATCAAAAGTCCTATCTGAGTCCAGTCACGGGTGACGTAGTCTTAAGTGTACTTTGCTAAGGAGTTTCATTATAGGATCAGATAATTTTACAGTATTTTCTGATTTTCAGTAGTTCATGATGTTAACCATCAAATGATCATATCGAGTCTATCCATTCAGGATATATATACACTAATAAAGAAAGACCTATTACAGTATTTAAAATCAAAGAATGGAAAGTATAAACCTTTACAAGCTATATACTACTAAGATAGTCAAAAAAGTAACCATTAAACAGATCGATAGCATGAAAAAATAACAGAAATTAAACGACACCGGTGAATTTATATGTATATATGAATGTAAGTCACTTCAATCTAACTATCTATCTGTGTGTTCTTTGTTCAATTATTTATATTCAATTATCAATGATGAATATTAAATTAAATGCTACTTTTCTTTTCGTTAAAAAAAATACAAAAAAAACTTATTTATGATTTATAAATAAATAAATAAATAAATGAATTAGTTTATTTAGGGAAAAATGTAAGACTTTTAATCCTACCCAACTCATTACTTCAAGTTTTATTGAAAAATATATGAGTTTTTTTCGATGCTTTTATTATTGCAAACACAGTTCATACCTACTTATCTAAACAAAACAATTTGTCGTCTATTTATGAATCTATGAAAGATTTTTATCTATTAATCAATCGGTCGATTGACAGGTTTCAAAATCTGAATTTCTACATGGTGACGGTACAGTTAGAAGTACTTGTTTCTTAGTTTGTGTGTGTACCTGTTTATTCAAATGTATTAGTATGCATAAAAACTAAATTGGTTCTTGATTGAGTTGGCTTAACATCAAAAATATTTCTATAGATTGCATGGTTAAACGAAATGAATATATGAATAAGCGACTAGATTATTTTTCACATGGTAATATATGTAAGTGGAAAGAAAATACACAACTGAAACTTAGTAAATACTTTTCATATGAATATGTAATATATGAATATTGTCCCTGATTAGTTTATATAAATAGGTCTCTGTCTCTAATTTGTTCGCTTTCTCTAATACATTTTACAACTTGTATCACGAAATATATTAGTAGTATTTTTAGAATCAGTATAACGCCCAAATTTTATTCATGTTAAATATTCATTTGATTTTATTGTACAGTGGCGTCTTCTTTTATTTGGATAATTGAGATGCTGAAAAATAAAAGACAATATTCAAATATTTTATTCATTAATAATTGTTGTCTAAATAGGGAGAATATATTTGTATAATCTCAGCGAATGAATTTAAAGTAAATCCAACGTTTCGCTTGGCAATCTGGTCCAAGCTTTTTCAAGGATTGCCAGGAGAAACGTTGGATTTACTTCAAATTCATTCGCTGAGATTTTTATCAAATACATTCTTCCTATTTAATGTCTCACATCAACTCGGTGCCAAAATACTGTGAAACTATTCGTTCTAATTCAGACGAAAGTTCTTATAAATTGTTGTTTACTACGAATTATTTTTTCATTCCGAAATAATAGAGTGTTTATTTTAAGTGAATACATTAATTTTCAAATGATACATGGTTTTCTTTCCCTTTTTGTACAGAAAACGCCTAAGCAGATGAGTTGTGTTTTGTAATAAATTCTTAACAGTTAATACTACGTTTAAGTTGTATTCATTAGAAAATTGATTTCAGGTGCACATCCGTGAGAATTGAAGGATATTGGAAAGATTTCCCATTCTAACAGTGTGCACCCATGACCCTGCTAACTATCGAATACGGGACTTCTGAATTTCACAGAAAATGTTGAATAATTTTAACCACTGGTGTCCAATAGTATTATTCTAACTTCAACCAATTTACGATGGCCATTCAACCGAACTGTTGACAGTTATTGTAAGCACGACATGCTGTGAGGCCTGAAAGCCAGGGGTTCAAGTTTTCATGGAGTCGTGAGTACGCACTGTTTGATAGTCTTATACTAAGACAAAACAGTTACCGGACTATCCTTTGCTTGCAATGGTACTCCCAGTGAAATCATTCTGCGACTAATACAACCCATAAATTAAACCATTCTGCAAAAACTTCCAAAAAGATCATTTTATCATATTGAGATTGAACATTAAATTGTTTGTGAATTTCAATAGGGATTAAAAGTGTTGAAAATATTCATTCGTAATCTAATATTCTTTGATTTGGTTGTCTCTAACTAATTGACTAATTTGAACAATTAAAAAATAAACCAAAAAATTTATTTATAGTCTGTGATTTTGAATAAATTATAACTATTTTATGAAGATTATTATTTGGAGCCGTAATAATAAATTTTTAGAGAGGAATATGAGTCGAGCATTCCAGCCGATTAGTCTAAAAATAACTTAAATGAAATTTACTAGGTATGAAGTATAGTGGTATCAGTGTACATTGTTAAACATTCCAAAATTATGAAAAAAACAATATCAGAAGAGGGTTTTGTAGAGATTTTAGTAATTTTTATGTAGTTGAGATCATGAGTCAATTGAAGCTAGACCACCATCGAAAACCTGGAAGCACTGGACGGCCGTTTCGCCCTATTGTGGGACTCCTCAGCAGTGCTCAGTGGTCTTATGGTTAAGCGCTCGCGCGCGAGACTGATAGGTCCTGGGTTCGAATCTCGCAAGGCGAGATCGTGGATGAGCACTGCTGAGGAGTCCCACAATAGGGCGAAACGACCATCCAATGCTCCCAGGTTTTCCCTGGTGGTCTAGCTTTAATTGACTCATGATATCAACTATAAAAAAAACAATAATCAAGTGATTTTAGTTTTTTTTAAAATAGATTCTCCAGCTGAAGAAGATTAATTTACCACTGAAATAATTGTTTCC